ATTAATTGCGAATGGACACTTGTGTATTGTGTGCATTGGAATGCGATTTTAATGAAGAAATTGTCTGATGTTGGGAACGGTGCTGTTTTGATTATGCTCTTTTTCTTTTTTTTTTAAACGATGAAAAACGAGAGTTTCTTTTTTTGGGGGGGGGGTCTAGTACTTCTAAGCGGCCACGCTCCTATCTCGCGCGTGGACGGATTCACAACGGGCGTTGAGACGGGCAGGAGACTGGAAGGAGACTGGAAGGGCCCGATAGCAGGCCCAATAATGTCTACCTTGCACCTCCCCGCCCACTGGTCACCACCCACTGCTTACCCAATGGCCAATGTGCGTATTAGATCCATCAAACTCCTAGCGTTTGACCAAATACACATTAATGTAGACCTCTTACATGTAATTTCAGTCCGACTGAGATATTAGCGTTTCGGGAAACGACATTACAAATGTTCATGGCATTTTGATGAAAACACGTCCGGCTGCAAATTTACAAGAACATTTGGGGAATTCTGTTTTTTTTTTGTGAAGAAATTAATTGCAGTAACATTTCAAGAAAAAATTTTCGTAATTCATAAATTTACGGAATTGTTTTTATTTTATTTGTTATTTCTTTCAAATCAGTTATAAAAAACGGAATCTTTTAAAAATTCTGGTAATTTTGTTGCCAAATTTTTATCTGACAAATTAAATGACACGAACATTTTTACTGTAATCTTACACAATTTGTGCCTATATAACGTTTTAGGATGTGAAGCAATAACAAGTTTCATTCACCCTCCTCCACTCATTTTACATTCAGAGTTTTTGAAGTCGCTTTCCACGTACACGTACCATTGCACATCAGTTCATTTCAATACGGGCATTTCACAATAGTGCCCCTCCAAGAGTTTGTAACGCGTTGACCAATCACATTGCGCGAAATCTGTCGACCCAATGCGCGTTTGGAAAGGGTCGACAGATTTCGCGCTCTGTGATTGGTCAACGCGTTGTGAACTCTTGGAGGCGCACTATTGTGAATCGCACGTATTTCGTAAAACTTTCATTGAAAATGAAGTTTGGATGTCCTTCACCTTGAGAATTGAAAGTTTCCTTTGCGTCTGTACTGACCGTTTGGGATTCAAGGTAGAATTGATATTTAGAGAGAGGCTAACAGCTAAGATCTGCCCTCTGTATTTATTTCTATGTAGGGAGTGGTTTCAACAGTGCCGGGGCTTTCTTAAGTCCGGATCCAGAGCGATGTGCCTTTTTTTGGGGGGGGGGGAAGTACTTTTTCCGGGAGCCCCAAACTGTTGGAAATTCTTTATGTATATGGCCTTTCTCTAGGGCGAAGCTAAACTTTGGATCTTTATGCATCTTTCATGCATGAAGTGAAAGAAATAAAATACTCCTCCAGAGTCACATTTTTCGCTTTGTACTTAAACCCCCCCCATAAGACAAGTCCCGCTCTCCAGCCCCTCCCTGGATCCACCGGTGGCCTTGCTGTTTTTTTCCTGAATGTCCTTTCTGTGAGCGTATTTTTGTTACTCTCAAGCCAATAATGGCTCTTCTTGCTCTCTTGTTATTTCTGGCTTCCGCCAGAAACCAGATAGCTTTCTATTGTTTTTGTGAACACGCTTGCACGTATTGTTCTATATCACTTCCATACCATTTTACCGTTGTCTATATCTGTTTAAACTTTTTATTTAAATGTGTTGAACTATGCTGCTTATAATTCGGCGGGGGGGGGAGACATGACACCTCGAACTCAAATAGGATTTTCTAGTTTCCCCGGTCAATCAACAATCTTCACAAAGATGACTGGAAAAAAATCGGCTATAGGATAATGAAGCTTTTAGCTTAATCATCTACTATTTCTGAAGTGTCGTTGCATAATGAGAGTTAACGTATATACCGGTGTGTGGCTAGAACCAAATCGGCTACGGATTGCTGTAAGTATTGTCACTGTTAGTTTAGGTTGTCGTCGGTTTTGTCTTCAGTTGTGTAACCAATGCCATTCTTATTCAGCCACTACTGCAGAGACGACAACCTCCTCTGTATACGTCACATTAAAAGTTCAGATAAAGTGTTTATAGGCTAAAGACAGAGGGAACCTCAAAATCACAACCTTCCTTCGTTAGTAAGAAAAAAAGTTTTTTGCAGAGGAGTATATTATAATCAATTATGTGCGTATATCTTTGATCAGAAAATTATGAAATGGAAAGAGAGAGAATTGGGTTCGGAACAATATATCCTAATGATTATACTCAAGCTATTTTTACAGTTCAGCTGCTTCAATATCACTTTCATAGTCTAGACAAAATAGTTTCACTTTCAAAGGAACCTGCAATGATTCCTTGCATACTCGCTATATATCCCCGATATCGATGTGTCCTGACCCAGAAACATATGGTCAAAGAAAATGATCAAATTTCTGTTTCATTCGCAAACCAAAACTTGGTAGAGAAACTCAGGTGTTTCACAATGTATTGGAATTACGCATTTCAACTTTGCGTGCCTTATGCATTTTGTATAGGTTTGCCGTTCGCGATTTAACACCGTCATCCGTATCGGTCGTTTTTGATTAAGTAATCGGAAAAGAAATTCAAGCCGGAGGTAGTAACAGACGTAAGCGACATTGGAATTGACAAACTTATAAAGAGATTTTATCTGCTTAATGGAATTGGTGGGTAAGCTCATTAAATCTTTGTCAATTTTTACTAACTGATCAGAATGATATCATCTCTCCGTCGACCATTTCTATAACGAAGGTGGCTCATTTCGGGTCCTCCTATTTTCCCAGGGTGATAAGTTGTTCGAAACGCGTTAGCCTTGATGTTTTTCCGGCCTTAAAAATTAGCTCACTTTCCTTATAAAAAAATTGGAAAAAAAAGTTTAGTGAGTGTGTACAGGCGCCGCCAGAATCTTTTTTCTCCTAAGAAGCATTCTAACAAATCGCAGAGGTCATAAAAAACTTAACCCGACGAATAAGTGAAATCATTTCAATACAGATCACTCACGGTGCGCATTTCAAGTGAATGATTCCTCAGTCAAACTTGGCAACCTAATTTTCGAATAATTTTAGCGCTAAACCGTCTGGTACTCATTTCCCTTATGTTATAGAGTCATACACACTACTCAAGAAAATTAGGAACGACTTTTTATTTCGAGAACACATTTTTTATATGAGATTTTTTTCCTGCTGAAAATGTGCATTTGATGTTTTAAAACATTTTTGATTTATTTTATTCCAATGAGAACACCATCTGCACAAATAAAAAAATGAAAGAGCCAGACCCCACTCATTGCTTGGAAAAATTACAAGTTGAGAAAAAAGCGGTCCTTAACTTTTTTTCAAGTAGACTAGTATTATACCCCTTATAGGCCGATACGTTATTACATCTTTTTGATTTAAGAAAATTTTAAAAAGGTAAACGCTTCAATGTGAAATTTTATCAAATAAATGGAATTTGGCGTTTCCACGGTTTAGCTGATGGGGGGGGGGAAGGGACAACGGGGCACGGCCCCAAAAGAGCATGTTGTTTTTGAGGACTTATATAGAATGAAATCAGAGAACTTTTTCACTTCCCTTGCAAAAAGTGGGTAAATTCGAACGTGTTCTAATTTTCAATATAATTCTCCGTAGGGTGCACCACTCTAGCTGTTGACTTGAGAAAGCATTGTAAAGAAATTCCAGGATCCAATGCCTCCTCCTAATCATCGATTTGCCATCTCTAGCCCCGCCCATGCAGCTAGTTCTTCTCACGCTCAGCTTTCCTGGTCTGGAAAGGTCTTTCATATCTTGCCCAGCGGAAGCCTGAAGTTTTGTTGAAATGATTGTTTATGTCCTTGTTTCAAAAATCAAAAGCGGAAGAGCTGTGGTTGGATCTTTTTTCTCGGAAAAATTATGCCATGTGACTTGTATGAGCAAAATGTCGACTCATTCTTGTATGTTGATTACTTCCACCGCGACCGCAGGAAGCTCAACCTGCCACCATAGCTGCCACCAAATACCACCGTCACACCCTATACCCTCCCCCGAGCTTCTCCGGCCTTCCGGTTCTTCGCTGTATTACCCAACATGACGCGGAAGCTGGTTTGGGTATGAGTTTCTGCTGTTTGATTGTCTATTCCACCCAATACCACAATTTTACCATCTCACACACACAAAAAAAACCGAAAAACGTTAACGTGTGTTAACAATCGTGGTGTGTTTTGGTACCGATTGCAAAAGCAATCAAACTGCATGACACAGAAAAATCGAGCCGGCCGCCCCCCCCCCGAAAAACGCCGCAGGATCCGCCGGCGAGTATGAGCAAGTCCCTGCAAGCCATTTCAAGTCCATGTCATCCGGTAATCCTGCCACGTTAATTGAGATCGATTGGGCTCGTGAATGGCGGCCGTGTAATTCTATGGTTCTCATATTTGTGACTGGATGGTGGTCCGGGGGGGAGATGACAAATCCCTTGCTTGTTCCCTGAAATTCGTCAGATCTTTTTTTTTCTCTCTCTATAATTATTTCCTTGTTAGGAAATTCCAGACAAGCTCGGCAGCATAAAAAGTTTTTTCTTCCTCGATTGGAGCCAAAAATAAGGTTCGGGCGAAAATGCAAACCACGGAATTAACTCTGGACGCCCCTGTGAAAAGACTGGCTGGTCTTGTAACGGATTCGATTACAGACTAGAAGAGTTCACACAGTCGGCTGCAAAATCATTAGAAGGGGAGTTTGGAAGAGTCTAAGTATACAGTACTTTCAAGCTCTGTCGGATCTAATGATCTGCAGTGAATCTGGATCAGGAGAATTTCCCCTGAAATCTGGACTCGTAGTTTGCAATCAAACAAGAAACTGCGATGACTCAACATTCGCGAGGAAGTGGTGTCGCCGTGTGACTTGTGTTTGGCAGAAAAAACAGGGAAAAGATCAACCAACCAACACACTATTCTTTTTCTTCAAACACTGACACGTGACGGTGATACAAAAATTAAACCAACAGATGATTTTTTTGAATGTTTCACAGTGCCTTTATTAATATATAGATATATTTATATTCATTCAGCATTCTAACAAGAAACTGCATTCAAAGAAATTGAAGGAATGACTTTTCCGTCAGCCTACTGTCGCTAACAAGTAGACATTTTGAAAAAAAACACCATCAAACAGGTCTTTTCGGAAAACAGACAGAATAGGATAGATCAACGTCAGCTGTAGCTTACAGTCGAATGAGAATCTATGATCATACCAAGTTTGGTATACATTATACTTAATCCAAAAGTTATCATCCCTGCAGATATACACAGGGGTCCTGCACTTTTCCCGATTAAAATATAAATATTAAGTCTGGGTTAAATACAAAAATGCTAGACAGATCAAGTTTTAAAGCCACTCTCAATGAATAATTAGAGTTTCTGACATGTCGGTTCTACCATATAATAACATTCATGCCACAAAAGGTTAAAAATATGCAAACCATGTGCTATTCAACACTCAACAAACCTCCACAAAATGTTTTGACTCCCTAAAATCATTACATCATGTCTGCAGAAACAGCGTGTAGATATCGCAATAGGTCTACTTATACTATACATCTACTTAAGTTGCAGATCAAACAAACCAAACTATAAATGTATATCCTCCACATTGCATCACCCTCACGAAGAAACTAACAAGGAAATGCCTTTTTATCCCCTGAAAGATGGGTTTTAACTGGATAGCCATTCCACCAAACATTCAAACTTAAATATGAGAATATATTCAATTATATAATATAAAATATTTTTCAGATAGATAAAATAAAATATATAAAACCATTTCCACATATATGTACTGGGATGTGTACGCTGAGTCATAAAATGCAACATAATGACTTTGGAAATGAAACTAAAAATACTGTCTTTATATTTTAAAAATTGAATACAACCAAGTGAAATAAATATTGAAAGAAGAACATCTGGAATATTACAGCAATCTCTTAGTCACTAAGCAAAGCAACCATTCATTGGTCTAACATTTCTAAGGTAGACAGTACAATTAATGTCTACAGATATATCTTGGTCAGGCAATTTGTTACATCCAAAGGCAGTTCATACTCACTGCAAAAGCCAACATGAATTGAAATGGATAACGTCACGTCGCACTTTCATTCACAGAGTTTAATTTGCAAACACTGAGCATGTTTCAACTCTGGCGAAATTCCCCACTGAATGCTTCATGGTGCCAACTTCACTTCTTGTGTACATTTTGCAAAGAGCATGAACTGGCCAATGCTCTTTGGGCACACATAAAAGGTTTATTTCTGAAAAGTGATCTGTCCATTTGGAAAACACAGAATTTTTCTGCAATTATAAAATATTTAAGATTGAAAAACAGCATACCTGGTGTCCCGTAATTTTGTTCTTCAAAATGCAGATTTGTGTCCAACTATCTGAACCCTCGAAACTGACTTTAGGCAACCAAGAGAGGGTAAGGTTCTCAAATTCTTGGATCAAAATGATTCTTATCACATTTATGAAATTAACTCTTCATAGGTTGGCTTCCTCCTAAAATTGTGCACACAGGTCAATGTCATCCATTGTTCCTGTGAAGAGTCTATGCAGCAGGGAGTGCTAACTCCAAGAGTCTTTACAAAGTCATGAGGAGACATCTGCAGATTCAAGTCTGGGTCACTACTTTTCGGATGTATAAAAGCTGATCCTTTCTTTACCTATCAGTTCCTAGTTAAGCTCCATCAAACGCACTGAACAAAAAAACAAAATAACAGAAAATGGTTTTTAGTATGCAGTACTAGGTGATTGGACCATCAGCCCCAAGTTGAGTGGATTTGACACTTACACAAGCTTTTCCAAAACCAATTTTCATTTGCAAAACTTTGGGGGGGGGGATAGTCTCCAATAGATACTCAGTGGACTGAGAACAAGTCTAACATTTGCTGCAGTGGCCATTCATGAGCATGATAATACATTTGAGGCCTACATGTGCACATTTACTAAGAGAGATATTGGAAACCCACTTACATGACATAGAGATCATACAATCTACACCAAATCCATGAAGACAGGGACCACCAACATTTTTATACAAGTAGGTATAGCAAACACAGGACTTTATTCTCTCAGAATGTTTTTGTCAGGGTGAACTCTCTAACACAGTGATATAAAATTAAACATCACGGGCAAGTTCCCGTTGGAGAAATCTTGGCAATGCATTTTAAGAGAATCCAGATGGAAGAAATATTGGATGTTGGATCGTACACATGGTGCGAATCTGGGGAATCGTTGCCATTTTTATTGAAGATTTTGGCCAATGAATGCTTCAAGGTTATCCAAGACCTCTGATCTAAAAACTACTAAAAATGAAGTCACTGTTGTTTGATCAAGGGACATTTTACAATTTAGTGACATCTCTACATTTAGCTTTGATCTTCCATCTTGATTACACAGTGCTGCAAATTTGGACTCAAAGATTTGAAGTAGTCATTGTAAGAATTCCTATGGGATACCTTCAGGTAAACAGGTGCCTGCATCTTTGTTGTACTCCAAGCCTGGTTCACAGCAGGATTCTGAGAAGTCTCCAGAGACATCTTGGCGATTGGACAACATCCCTGTATTTGGGCAGCAGGCTTGTGTGGTGGGGTCAAATGCCATGCCACCACAACAGCTTCCAGGTCTTGTACCTAGAGTCACATTCCCTTCACAGCAGGTGTCTGTCTGGGGGTTGTATGCATTGCTTCCACAACACTGGGTGGTATCCGTCTTCTTCCTCCTGAGGGTTCCGTCGCAGCAGAGAAATTTGTTGGGACTGTATGGCTTCTCGCCATGCAGACCACAGCAGGATCCATTTTTGATGGGGTGGAGCTGCTCTGCGCAGCAAGTGTGCATGCCAAACTCATACGGCACCCCGTTACAGCAGCCCGTAGTTGATGCATGATGGGTTGCACCAGAGCAGCAGGTCAGGTTGTTAGCGTCATACGGGACTCCACTGCACAAGGGCTGCAAGATGCCGTCCTGGCAGCCGTACAGCTCCAGGTCATAGATGTGAGTGTAGCAGCAACCCAGACGGGAGGCATCGTAGTACTGGCTTCCGCATGTTGCCGATCCTGGGTTAGACCGTGGGAGCCTAGCTTGAGCAGCCTGGCATTTGTGCCTACCCATTATCTCCCCGTTGCAGCAAGTCATCCAGTGATAGTGTTTGCGCAAGGGTTTGCCCCCGCAGCAAGTGTACAGCTCCGAATCCATCACCTCCCCTCCGCAGCACATGGCCTTCTCCCCGAACTGGTGAGACTGCCTCCGGCCAGCACAGCAAATCGCATCCTCCTCGCTGCTTCTGATGACCTCATTTCCGCAACACTCGCCATGGAATGGATAAATCAGACCTTGGCAGACTGTATGTTCTATGGCAACACTCTGATCCTCCGAGCTGAAGAAGTCCACATCCTTGGGGAAGCTGTACCGAATATCTCCAATGGCTCTGCAGGTTTCAGAGCGTGGGTCCATGATCTGACTGTGACAGCAGACTGCATTCTGTGCATCATGAAAGAGCGAGTCTATGCAGCACTTCTTCGTTTCATCCAGAGCATCGTATGCAACCCTTCCACAGCAGGTATCACCATACACAGCCTTGTCGTACAGACTGACAAAGCAAAGAAAAGCTATCCATTATTATATTCTACTAGAATCATGTAATACTCAGTGTCTGATTGGTGAGTTGTTGATAACTTGTCCTCAAATTACTTCACCCAATACACGACTTGGCCACACCACAAAAACACAAGTTCTTTTTTACAGTAAATTGAACATTATACTCCACGGTCACTGTAACTTGCCCATTTTTTAAAATCTTGGTGAAGGAAATAAATCTTTATTCTAAACATCAAACGACCTTGTAAAATAATGATAAGAATAATGTGATGAACAATTACTAACTGAATTTTGTCCTATACTGGTGTAACTTTCCCGGAGCCAGCAACAAACTTTTCAAGCTCAGGCACGTTTGACTTACTTGGGCAGATGGTCTCTTATGAAGTGTAGGATACTTAAAATGATGTTGGTGAAGGGTAAAAAAACCAGTATTGAAATCCAAGAAAAGTGAAAACTCCATCAAAGTCATCAAAGTTCTGAAAGATTAACCCTGAAAGATTAATCCATTTGCATGGATGTAGCAACCACAGTCTCAAAGTACAAACCTTCTCCATCCCTTAGAAAAAGACAAAGGGAACTAATTTACTTACAATCTTCCCTGGCAGCAAACTTGTCTACTGCTGTCCATCAAAACCACCCCGCAACATTCGCCGTTCTCCACTGGGTAGACTCTGCCTTGGCACACGGTGTCCGTGGGCCGGTGAGCCACCCCAGCCGTGCAAGCAGTCTTGCCATCTGCAGTGGAAAGTAGGGTGTCGTTACAGCACATCAGCTCCGGGCTGGACGGGTCAAAGAGCCTGCGTCCGCAGCACACTTGGCCTGGAGGGAAAAGAAAGCAGTAGCAGTTGAGGATTAAAACAAATGTTAAACATGTTTCCTCCATGTACACAAATCTTCACCCCAAAAGAAAAGGTAATGGTACCATTTCTAAAGTCCTGGCACATTTCCTTCCAAAAAATAAAATAAAAAAATCTGGCTTCACATTGGGGGGGGGGACTCCACCCAACTGGACACACCACTGAGAGCAACAGTGGCAAAGGCCTCTATGAGATTCATAGGCACATGAGCTGCACTGACAATGTTCATTTACCATTGGAAACATATTCTATGAAGACTCTAAAACCAAAGACTGGAACAGCACAAGTGAAAAAAGTCAGAAATGGCACAGCCTTCCTGAGAGATCCGTTACTTGTGAAGGGAAACATCACCACCCAAAACAAGAACATATTAACAATTAATCTGCTTTGAACTTCAACACAAGGATGGATGTCTCTGTGCCTATCATACATGTATTCACCATAGCAACGGGCTAAAATTAAGGCTGAAAGTTACCGTTAACTTTTCTTATGCAAGGACATCAGCCATATATGACACTTCGTTTGTTGAATAAGAAAACCATTTCTCAAAGTGGCTTACTTAATTTAGAATTCTCTTCACCAAAACAGAAGAAAGCAGAGTTTTGATAGTAATGAGACAGTTGCCCAGAATCAATACATGGTTTACCACAGATGAGAATGGTACACGAGACACCAGACCATTCCAGATGCAGACACAGAGGTTGCTGGTGTATGGCTTGCCTTGAATCATTTAATACAGTAATGACTGTTTTGTCAAGAAAATTCAAAATGTATTAAACCCAGATAATGAGGGATAACCAGCAGCATTCAAGTTTGTCGAGCGAAAGGCTTACAGGACAGTACTATCCTCACCTGGTGCAGAGATCTGGTGCAGTACCCCATCACAGCATGTATAAGTAGTTGGGTTGTAACCCACCAAGCCGCAACATCTACCCTCTCCGAGGCTGGTCTCCGGAGTCAAGAACCGGTGGCCGTGACAGCATGTCTCCCCTGGTCCGATCAAGATCCCCCCGCAGCACTCCTGTTCTGACGGATCGTAGGGGCGGTAACCGTTTTCAGCCTTGTGGTTCTCGCATACTTCCCAGCCCAGCTCCATCTCCTGGATGGGCCGGATGTGGCCATTACTGCTATCACAGAAGTGGGATTGAATGTTGTAGGTATTGCCTCGGCAATATCTAGGAGAACAAAAGAAGCAATTTATGCATGCATTTACACACCTCTTTACAAGGCCTCAAAAAGTTCTTATGCACTTCACGTCTTATGGCGTACAACTCTAAAAATGACTATGCATATATGCCAATACCATGGATGATAAAATGTACAGTGTATGCGAATGCCAGCAAATGTAATGCACTATTACATGCGTCTCTGGCTCACCACAGTGGGGCTTATTTCCGCTCTGTTGCATGAAACGTATGTCCAAATTTCTACACGAGAAAATGTTTCTGGTCAACTCCGGTCAGCAAGAAAAAGTTGAATTGAAGCGAAGACCCTTGCCTATGGACATAGAAACAGTTTGCTGAGCTGCACTATTATAATCCGTCAATGATGAAAATGATAATCAACTTCCCTACAAATGACAAAGCTGCCAGTCTCAAGTTATTTTGCCGAGAAACTGGCCAGCATACAAAACTCTGGGTGAAGCACGCTGCACACGGTGAGAGCTGAACGTGGATCTGGGCACTGTTGATAAAATCATCCTTCTCTTCATACAATGAGAACTCACCCGACGAGTCCCTCCGGGATGGAAATCACCTTCTCATATTGGAGGTGCCTCCGACACGCATGCCATTCTGGGACGTAGGTTTCAGTGCCACAGCATTTCATACGGTAGGGCTTGTCAGCCATGTAGATCCTTGGATGGATGTAACCTTTACAACACTGATGGCTCTCTGTGTCGTAGATTTTCCCCCCACAGGATTCAAAGCCAGGAAGCATGCCCTTAATGCTGTACACCTTCCCCTGCTTACAAACCTGGAATCAAACCAAATAAATCAAACCACATATTTGGTGAAAGCTCTGTCTTTTAGGAAATTTCCCCATGCTTTGCTTTTGCCACTTTCAATAAATGACTGCATTCTTAACTTTATGTTCATTGTTTATCTTATTTGATGAATATATATTTTTCTGTCTATTGACTTGAAAACATTGAAATAAGTATCTCGGAGAATCATACACCAAAAGATAATTGCCAATGATTTGAAGTACAAAGGTTTAAAATTCACAGGACAGCTTAAAACTCATTAAAACATGTCACTTCCTAGTCATTTTGTGTCTTCAAATGACAGACACAGTATCCCGTTTTCCCAGTTAAAGTATGAGTATTTTAACTTATGGAAATACGCTACCTGTCCACTCTCTGGTTGTCAGGCAACCAATCCAGTAACTCAAAATACGAGACTGTCCCAAGTACTCACACTTTGCACTATTAAATGAGGGGATAAGCATTTAAGATCAAAGTCAAGGTGACAATCCATTTGACATCACGCCACGTCCAATAGCTCCCCAAGCGTTATATTCAACAAGTATTTAAAAAGAATACTGGTACTGGAGAGAGAAAAACCCGCATCTGAAGTTTGAATTGAATTTTGAAAGTCTGTAGAGATAAAAGGAAAGTAACGCACAAGAACTTTTGCTTTTGTTATAAAAAAGAGAAACAACAAAATTGCATTAAGATGATCTGTTGTCAAAGAAAAGATGTGATTATTCAGTCATTCTGAAGATTGACTACTTCCATGACTAATTCAGAGCTTACTCAGAGTATTTGGAAGAATGATGTGTGCACTGAAGCCAAGAGCTGTTCAGTGCAATTAGTCCAATTCTGGTCAGAGAAAGTATTAAAATGGCACTGAAAATCAGTGAGCTAAGTCCAAGAGTAAAGTGGATATTTTCAACCCTGGGTAAGGCTTGGTAACTCCTTACTAAATTTCTATACCGTGACAGAGTATCCGCAGGATTGTTTTAAAACCCACCTGTGTGTTTCTGTTGTAGGTTTTAGGGTTCCTTTCTTGGGACTTTGGTTCTGAACAGCAGACTGCATTGTCCATCGGGGAAAGTTTCGTCACAGGCTTCATAGAGCAAGGGTTGCACAGTTCGTTGTCTGAAAGGGCGTGGATACCACAGCACACAGCATCAATTCTCTGCACTCTGCCTGTGATCAAGAATATTGGGAAAAACGTGAAGAAAAATGTCCCATATGGGTGCATTTTGCAGGTCATCACAAGTGACTGATTAATGTGTAGCTGCAATGAATATTTCTTGGACACTATTTTTCTGCGTCTTTGTATTTTTCTTCAATGTATGAAAACTTTTACACACTCACACTTTTCATTCAAAATTATCCATGTTTTCCCGGATAACTGAGGGCGCTGTTACTGTGAAGCCATCTAGGGAACACATGGTTCAGTGCAAAGGTATTTCTGTTCAAATTGTGAACCCAGAATTTACTAACTGAAACATTTCTGGGATAGGGATTGATGGCTTATTGCTATGCACATAAAAAGCAATGAATCAGAAGAGAAAAGTTAGTTCAGGAAAATCTACACAAACACAGGACTTTTTTGCGTACAAACTTATGTAACAATGAGGCTTCTTCCTGAGATGACATCACAGTTATGCTTATGAGTATGGAAATCTTCGATTGGCATAACAACCAAAAAGGCATTAAAATACCCTTTGAAATTGTGAAACCAAAGTTGAAACTAAGGTTTACTGAGGCACAAAGCTGCATTTTACAGGTTTGTAATCAAAACATTCATTGCAGCTAGCTACCCTTTAACTGATTTGGTCACTGGTCAAGCTTTTTGTCAACTAATCCCGGAAACACCTGATACCTTTCCGTTCATATCACAGACATTTTTATATCCAATGAAAATATGCCCTGCTTAAGTCCAGCCATTCACTCTTTCATCTGCTACAACATCTGCTCTTTATTCCATTTTTCATTTGTGTCCATGTTTTGGTGAAAAATTACTTCAAAAGGATCACTGATTTTCTCAACATGCGAAACACTGATAATTTGTGACAAAAAATTAGATGACATTGGCAGATCAGTGTGAATGTAGAAAAGGCGATAGTGTATTTAAACCCCCCCCACCAAAAGCTAAACCATCCCCACTAGAGCCAGGCTTAGATTCAACCCTCCAGCTAATACGTGACAACACTCACCGTAAGTGGCCCGCGACAGAGAGCGACGTTCACAACATTTGCTTTCAGTAGGCTGATAGGCCTGGTATACGTGTCTCATGATGCGACAACAGGATCCGTTCACAATGTTCGATACAAATCCACGACAGCAGGTCTGTTGCTCGGGGTCGAATGTGTCTCTGTCTCCGCAACACTGAGACGTTGGAGATACTCTGGCCAAGATGTGACCAGCACAGCATAGCTGGTCCGCCGGATTGTACAGATCTGGGATGTTGGAAGAGAACACTCTCCGTACTTCAAAACTGACTGATTTTTGGCGTATCTTTCGTTTAAGGATGATTTTGAATTGAATTTCTAGCCTTGTAAGGCACTTGTTTAGTTTGTAAGCCTGCATGTATGATTGAAAAGCCTAGAAGGGAGGAAGGTGGCTAATGTGTCCTAAACTGTCGGGCACTTCACAAAACTGGCACAGACTGTTTCTCACCCAAGTAGTAATTTACCCGTCATAATCTCTGAAATCCCTGCCACACACTTTAACAAATGAAAAACTCCAACCCTATCGTGTAACCCCTTCCACCTTACCATTGTAGGGGCATGTGTTCAGTATGATTCCCAGATAAGTTTAAAAAACTTTGACTCGGTGATACAGAGTTATGGCCAAACCAATACTCTTTGAAACACTGAATGAGTTAGTTTGTGTACATGTAGAGATGAAGTATTTACTCCACTCATGCAAGTTTAGTCACTGTGCATACACAAATTGTCAACTACAAACAATAGAGTACCGAAGTGTGACATCACTGTGAACCAGAAAGTGTAATGCAAATGAATGGAGTACGCGCACGTGTTGGTTCACATGCTGGTTCTCGCGCTTATGCCTTTTACACACTAATTGTGCGCGTGACATATTCACTTCGGTAGTCTATGAGCTTATTTGGTTCAACAGTGCAAGCTCAGTACAAAGCTATTCAGGAACAGCTACACCCATGCTTGATAGACTGTCCTATCAAAGCAGCCATCACCCAATTCACACGAGCGCAGGTTCCCGAAAGACCCTGGCTTTTTGAAATACTGAACGGGCTCATTGTTGGACAGACCCGTTATCTTCAGTTCTGCATGGTGTCTACTATAATTAAGGACCGTCTAAAAAGTCAGGACACTAAAGAACGTTCCAAGGTGAATATTTGTTCCACTTGGGAATGCCTTCTGTTCCCAAATGGGTAAACATGCTCTACATGTAAGCAAAGCTTTTATAGCAGACCAGGAACAGAAATGTTTCGACTTTTTAGAGGTCCTTTAAAAATGTTAATGAATCTCTAGTAAACGATTTTTATCTTTCCATCTGCCTATGTTTACCATTTCCACAGCATTCTTTGCCAGGTTCCAGCACGTGGAGTGTGCCCGCACAGCAGATGTGTCGCGTCCTTAGGTAGGATTCTCCGCTGCAGCAATCCTGTACACCTGGTATCTCAGGGACGGACAGTGACGGCGGGCTGGGGTAGCAGCAAGACGACTGCAGCGGATTGTATGCTGTGGCACCACAACATTGGCCATTTCCTGCTCACCCAAACATAATGCTCAACAGATCAGAATAAGCTCGACCCACACTCTCCTCTGGCCATCCCCCAACCAAACTATGACATGTATGAGGTGTTCATCATGAGTCTTACCATTTGGGCCCCCATTTTTTAAAAATAAATAATAAAGAGGCCCCTTCTACATCTTGTGATGGGTGACTTTCACAAAAGAAAGAGAAAAAATCAAGTGTTTTGCCCTTGTTTTGCTTTCTATGGTATTTGAGGGCCTTTCCTGGAAAAACTGTTAAAAAAGTTAACAAGGTTGCATTTGGGCTAATGACCATAGCCTCCTCACTGGATAGCATGACATTTTCAAGAGACACCATGCTGGCGTGGTGGAGAAGAGTTTTTTGTCAGTTAATTTTTACAGCAGTGAGATTTTTCGTAAGCTAACAAGGTTGCCACCAGCTATGATGTCTCCTCGCCTAGAATGGTTGTAAGTGGCATGCCCTGTTGACTTTCACAAGAAACATTTCCATAACTAAAGGAAACTTGCAAATTTGTTAAAACTTAAATATAAGATACTGCTGAATTATGAAATGAACACCATTTGATCCTTATTTTACAGGTAGTCCTATCACAGTTTCAAACCAATACACTCAATGTAAGTCTACTTCTCTATGATGGAAGATTATGTTCCAATTTCGTAACGGTGGATAATGTTAAAAAATCTGACATAGGAGATAAATGAAAAATGAAATCTTTCCCTGGTAAGTCCACCAAGTGGTTTCTTTGGTCTGTCCTTCCAGCAGGAAATTAATTGTGAGGTATCTTCCAACACTTCCCAATATACAGAGGGAGCAAGAATTACATTTACAAGGCTTACCGATATTGGGAGTAATGACAGACTCACAGCACTGGTCCCTGTCCTTATTGTAAGGTGTCAATCCACAGCACTCAACCTTGCCGTCTACCAGCGGGCTGATGCGGTGCTTGGCCTCAGCCTCGCAACAGACCTCTGTCCTGATGTCAAAAGTGTTCGGTCCGCAGCACTCCTTGAAAGAAGTCTCACGGTCAATCACGTTCTGTACAACCAAAATTGAGACTTGTTAATCCTGAGATGAATACATGTACGTCGTCTGATGATGAATACCATTGTTTCTTAGGCTGACCTCAGTCAACATTCTTCTGACGAGAGCATACCGGTCATTGCTCTGGACAATGAGGAAGAAAACCAGCACAGAAGTGCAGTTGTTCTGCCACAATATCTGAGTCAGCCAATGCACACAAAAACATCATTTCAAAAAGAAAAACCAAATAAAAAAACCCAACCTGACACAAAATATGCGACACAAAATGTAAGTATCAAAGAACAAACACCTCAATCAGCAAGCAAAAACATCAGACCACAAGGAAAGAAGGCCTACTCACGGGAGACACCATCTGGGCGCAAGCCGAGTACAGTCATGAATAATACAACATATGACATTGCATGAGTGAATACTGTATTTGTCGTGATTACTTTTTCATGAAGGCCAGTGTACCTGACTGCGGACCTCGTACGTGCGTCCGAATGACCTCCTAGTGGAGATACGCTGTCGGAATACCGACCTGGCTCATTAATTACTAAAGGCAGTGGATGGGTCAACTTACACCCTGGCAACACAGTTTCCGTCTGGTATCAATGACCTCCGTGTTGCAACACTCCAGGAAACTGCTGATGACTGCTTCCCTGCCCACTGTGGCCACGTGGCCGGTATAGTCGGGTCCGGTGCAGCAGTGCTGTGTCGTGGGATCGTAGGTGGCGTTCTTCCCGCAGCATTCTCCAGTGTTCTCTATGACGTGCCAAGAGCAGCAGGTATGTGTGGATGTGTCAATCTGCTGATCGCCACAGCATTGCATGTGCTCTTCACGTGGGTACACAGCATTGCCGCAGCAAAAGTGACTGTCTTCGTTGATCCAAGTGTGGTCTCCACAGCACCGGCCTGTGGTTGAGTCGTGAAGAACTCTGCCACCTTTAACATAGTAATCAAAATGGAAGAACACAAACCATTCAAACCAACTCTACAGAATCTTGCAGATTTCCAAAAAGACAAATTCTATTTGACTTGAGCAAAAGACGATCTGGTCATGTAAGATTCTGTTGGATTGAGTAGGTTCAAAGTTCTTTTGTTATTCGATTCCTTTGGGATTCAGTCTGTCCATGAAACACCTGTTAATGCTCTTCCAAATACCAGCGAGGATCTGTCTGAAGCATATGGGTGATATTCCTAAACATCATCAATGGTTTAAAGATTGAATAATTTAAACAACTCTGCAGTCAATGATCTAGCTCAAGCAACTCCAGCAGGGATGCTCGACATAAACATCCTGATCTCCTGAGCTTTAACCACTACCAGCCGGGGACTCCGAAATCAAAGCCGTATGGTTTATATGTGTGGCCGGGGTCTCCGACCGCAGACAA